GAGCATGCAGAAATTGTAAATGAGCCATTGCTGTGTATTTTTTCTCATCAGAAGAGCTTTCTGATCCAGACCCATGGCAGACATCAGGGAAGAAGGAACATGCACAAGGTTTCCCCTTTGCCACTGCAGTTGCTGTATTTGCAAAGGTTTCTGCAAGGCCCTCATGGTCCCTCATCATATCCTTCTCTCTAAATTGGAGAGATGTGGATTTGAAGGACTGTTGGATGGATTAGGAATTGGCTGCCTGGATGCAGCCAAAAGGCTGTGATCAGTGGCTCTGCGTCAGGGTGCAGGTGTCACAAGCGGTGTCCCTTAGGGATCGGTCTTGGGACTGATGCTCTTCAACATCTTCATCAATGACAGATGGTGGCACCGAGTGCAGCCTCAGCAAGTTTGTGATGACACCAAGCTGAGCGGTGCAGGCAATGCATTGGAAGGAAGGGAAGCATCCAGAGGGACCTGGACAGGCTGGAGATGTGGGCCCATGTGAACCTAATGAGGGTAAGTACGGCCAAGCGCAGGGTGCTGCACTGGGGTCGGGGCAATGCCAGGTATTGATACCAACCGAGGGAAGATCTCCTTGAGAGCAGCCCTGAGCAGAAGGACTGGGGGTCCTGGTGGACAAGGAGCTGGCCATGAGGCAGCAGTGTGCACCTGCAGCCCGGAAGGCCAGCTGTGTTCTGGGCTGCATGAAAAAGGGGTGGCCAGCAGGAGAGGGAGGTGATCGTCCCCCCCTGCTTGGCTCTTGTGAGGCCCCATCTGCAGCGCTGCGTCCAGGCCTGGGGCCCCCAGCACAGGAAGGACGTGGAGCTCTGGGAGCAGGTCCAGAGGAGGCACTAAGATGTCAGAGGTCTGGAGCAGCTCTGCTGTGAGGAAAGGTGGAGGGAACTGGGCTTGTTCAGCTTGGAGAAGAGAAGGCTGCGGGAGACCTCTTGGTGGCCTTCCAGTGTTTGAAGGGAGCGGATAAACAGGAGGGGGAACAGCTGATTGTGAGGGTGGGTGGTGATGGGACAAGGGGGAATGGATTTAAGCTGAGACAGGGGAGGTTTGGGTTGGATATGAGGAGGAAGTTTTTCACCCAGACGGTGGTGAGGCACTGGAACAGGTTGTCCAAGGAGGCTGTGGATGCCCCAACCCCGGAGGCATTCAAGGCCAGGCTGGATGTGGCTCTGGGCAGCCTGGGCTGCTGGTTGGCGACCTGCACACAGCAGGGGGTTGGAACTGGATGACCATTGTGTCCTTTTCAATCCATCCATTCTATGATTCTGTGATTTGCAAGACACCAGTGCCTCCCTGTGGGTCTGCCTGCCTGGTTCCCCTCACTCTTTGAGTGTGGGGAGGAGACTGGGGCCCTCCTGGGGTCACTGAGCAGGAGCCTCTGTGAAGAGAGAAACCCTTATTGTTCTGTTCTTAGTTTCTTTTGTTTTCTTCTAAGTTTACATGCTTTCGGTGTCTCTTGTTGCTACAAACTAAGCCCAAAACTTCAGGTCCTATTTGAAGTGTTCTCACACCTGAATGATTTCAACAAGTCTGTGGTTACTTTCAGCCTCTACTCCTTAGAAAGGCCATTCCTGGGGTCACTGCTCACCATAAATAAAAAGGCAAGAAGAGAGGTGGTATTGTGTATGGGGCCATGTTTAGTGAGGGTTAGCAAACACAGGGCAGGGTGTTTTCTCCAAGACTCTTAGAAAAGACGCAAGTTTATCTCCAATCCATAGGAAGGCATTAGGGAGCAGGAGCTTGCACAGGGGAGAATGTACTGTAGGTTGTGGAAACATCTCCTTTCTTGGCAATATGAGAGGACTCTGGCCTCCCCCATCTTCCTGCTTTGTCTTTTATGTCAGAAGTAAAAGGATTTGCCTCCATTGATTCACTGCCTCTATAATGGGGTACAGAGGCCTATTGGCAAATTCAGAAATCTTACACTCTTCTAAGATCTCCCCTTGCAGCCCACCAAGCTTTGTAATTCATTTTTTCCCCTCCTTTCTTCCTTCTGTGCTATACATAGCTCAGTCTTTCCTGTTGTACCCAGAACAACTTCCTCCCGTACACTGAAGAGCAGGCTCTGGTGGGGGGGTGTGAAGAGGGGATTTCTTTATCTCTCTCAACTTTGGCTTGTGGTCTAACGTCTGCTGTTTCTTTTCCACATGCTTCTCCTCCTTCCTGCCACGTGCCACACCAGCCCTGCTCCCCCACACTCTTTTACAGCCCACTTTGCAGAGGAAGAGGTTTCTGTGGTAAAGTACAGAGGAGCATCAAAAGACGACCCAGATCTCGGCACTGACGTCATGGAACCTGTGGTGGTACCCTTTCCTGCCCCACCTGGGCCATGAGACCCATTCCACATCCTGTCTCACTGTATTATTTCCTGCCTTTGCTTTGCACTGCGGTTTTTCTCTCTTGAAATAAACAAGAAACCACAAAAGAGAGCAGAAGGAAGGTACATAGTGGTGGTAGGAGATCAAAACCCTAATCTGTGAAAGTGTCTTTGAACCAGACCCACAAATTCAGTGCTTTGGAGATCACGTTAGGAGTCATTTCAGTCAAAACACTTAACTTCAGCTAAATACTCATCCCCTCACTCAGCAAATCTTATAAATGGGGTTGTTTAACCTGGAAAATATTGAGATACGGAAACACAGGCTGCTAACTGTCCTTACGGCTAGGAGAGAGCTCTAATTACAACACAATGATAATATTAAAAAGTGGTGTTTAAGGTAAATGAGCATGGAAACCTACCTTCTGCATCTCTGAAGGTTTTCAGAATGAGGTTTCAGAATAAGTCTGTTGAAAATGTATGAAAGTGGGGCTGCTTCGCTTTGTAACGCAGAAATGGTTTAGGCAGTTTCATCAAGAGCAGCTTTCTTTTGATGCAGAAGCCCTCATATGAACAAAATGGAAGGTTCAAAAACTGGCTGGAATTTAGAGTTAAAATAGCCATGGGCTTTCTACAGCTGGAGGGAAAGGCTGACACTTTTTGCTAAGAATGAGTCCCTGAACATCTCTATCATAGGATAATTACAGACCTGAAAACTTCGAAGCTGTCCCTGGGTAGCAGCAGCCAGTAAGCGTGGCTCAGTGACAGGCCGTCTGCAAGGAGGTCTGGTGGCAGCACCATGGCAGGAGATCAGGGAGAGTTTATTTTTTTTTTTTCTGCTCAGAACTGTGGACTCAGACTCATGGCAGACGTGCTGACAAGGTCTGTACAGAGGAACCCTCTCCATATCAAACACCAGCACTTTGGACTGAAAGTATTTGAAATATGAGCTGTTCCAAAATCAGAAACCATCAGAGTAAGAAATGTTCTGTGTCAATTGATAAGGAAAGACAGAACATCAACTGGATTTCTGCAAGCCATTTGATGTGGTTCCACACAACATCCTTCTCTCTGAACTGGAGAGAGATGGATTTTTAGGGTGGACTACAAGGTCGGTAAGGAACTGGTTGGATAGCCACAGCTAGAGGTTGTGGTTAATGGTTCATGTCCAGGTGAATGCTGGTGGCAAGCGGTGTCCCTAGGGATCTGTTTTCAGACTGGCACTCTTCAACATTCTATCAATGATAAACATGATGGGATCGAGTGCACTCCCGGCAAGTTTGCTGATGACACCAAACTGAGCAGTGCAGTTAATATGGAAGGGATGTCATCTGGAGGGACCTGCACAGGCTTGAAAAGTGGGCCCAAGTGAACCTAATGAGGATCAACAAGGCCGAGTGCAAAGTGTTGCAGTTGGGTTGGAACTGTTCCAGAGATATATACAGGCTGGAAGAGGAACTCCTTGAGCAGCGCTGTGGAGAAGGACTTGGGGGTTCTAGGGGATGAAAAGCCGCAATGAGCCAGCAGTGCGCTCTTGCAGTGCAGAAGACCAACAGTATCCTGGGCTGCATCACATGAGGGGTGGCAGCAGGGCAAGGAAGGTGATCGTCTCCCTCTCCTCTGCTTTTGAGAGGATCCATCTGGAGCGCTGTGTCCAGACCTGAGGCCCCCAGCAGGAAGGATGTGGAACTGTGGGAGCAGGTCCAGAGAAGGGCCATAGAGATGATCAGAGGGCTGGAGCACCTCTCCCGTGAAGACACACTAAAGGAGTTTGGCTTGTTCAGTCCAGAAAAGAGAAGGCTACACAGAGACCTTATTCTAGCCTTTCAGCATTTGAAAGGAGTTTATAAACGCGAGGGAAACTAATTTTTCACATGATCTAATAGCAATAGGACAAGAGGGAACTTTTAAACTAAAAGAGGGGAGATTGAGGTTCCTTACTCAGAAAGTGGTGAGGGGCACAGGCTGCCCAGAGATGTGGGTGCCTCATCCCTGAAGGTGCTCAAGGACAGGTTGGATGGGCTCTGGGCAGCCTGATCTAGGGGTTGGCAACCCTACCCACAGCAGGAGATTGGACCTAGATGATGTTTAAGGACTATTCCAACCTAAGCCATACTATGATTCTGTGATATTAGGCTATCCCATGAGAATCATGCCTCTCAGTACAGTAATGCTTTCTCTACCACTTAGATGGGCAGTGATGTGAGGTACAAGCAAGGCTCAAGCCTTTTCAATCTTGTCAGCAAGAGCCTGAACCTGGAGAGACAGGCCAGTCAAGTGATGCCTGTAATGCAAGGCAGACACCTTATTCTACAGGGAACAGAGGACATTTAGAATGGGATGCTACAGACTGCTGCATTCCCTAGCGCAGTAAATATCTTTCAAGTGCTTTCCGATTCTCTCACTGTTAGCAATCTGTGTTTTACCACTGTCTTCACATAGCACAGAGACTAGACTTGGAGATGTTCCTCTCCTCTCTCTCCCTCCCTCTCTGGGACAGTCACGATGTCCTGAGAGTTGTGGAAGTTCCCTCTGCAGCGAGCCAAGCTGATTGCTGCACACAGTACCTGGTATCTAACTTTCTTTCTGCCTTTCCTGGCACCCCTTCCCTCCTTCATCCCAAAGACAAACCTGGATCCTAAAGCTCATGTGAAAGAAGCTACAAAAAACCCGAACAAGTTTCTTATTATCAGTAGTAGATATTTAATAGGCCTAAAGAAATGCCATATCAACATTAAAATTTTGCTAAAAGCGTTCTTCTGTGATGGAGAGGTGAGTGATTGAGAAGTGAGAGTGTCACTCAATTCAGGCAGAAATTTTATGTCATTTTAATGCAAGTAATAGAGCTGTTTGACAATACACAGTTACAGCAATCTCTGCTTCATCCAAAAAAAGCAAACCAAAGCAAAAAAAGGCACTGTCATGCTGAATGAGCAGAATGCAGAGAATTGTAACATACTTTTGAGTAGCTTCATAAAAATGCACACAAAGCAATTTACACTATAATGGCTGGTGTGATATACAGAAAAAACAATGGTATCTATTGCAGTGGGAGAACCTCTTGCACCCAATGCTCCAATAATGATTCTTCAACAGATTTTTTTCGTACTTCACATCTGCACTGTCTGGTTACTTTCATTCCTGTAAAAAACAAACAAACAAAGTAAGTTAAGTCATTATTTAAGGTAGAGTCACAGCTACATAATGGTACACCTGAAGCATCTGGGCAATAGAAAGTGGAAAAAGACTGGGCCAAAACCATCATATTAGTTCTGAGGACTTCGAAGTCAATGACATCAAACTTTCACACCTGGAGATAATGGGGGATGAATCTGAAGAATGAGTGCAGACAAGTGAGGAGAAGGTTGCAGGAAAAGGAGGGATGTTTAGAAAGAAGGTAAATTTGCATGAAGATAAGGAAGGGTGATTAGTTTGGAAGAGTGGGGAAAACAATGACAGCACGATGATCTGCAAAGAAGTGGAGGGAATTTACAGGTAAAAGGTGTATGAATGAACTGCACAAACAGTTGCAGAGAGCGAGCACAGATAATGAATCGATGCAGGTGCTTTCTCAGAGGCCTTAACACCCCCTTTGTATACTCACATTTTTTTTCCTCATAAGCATCGTCATCAGCACATTAAAAATTATTGCTTTCATTAAAATTATTTTCAGGCCCATTTGTGAGAAGGTCAGCATGTTCAGGTTCTCATCTGTTGAAGTAAAAAGGAATGAAAGACATAAGAGCACTGTGACATCCCTACTTCTAGACAGACCTGACAGTACTTCTTAGCGAACCTTTTTCCACTTTGCATGGCCGAGCTCGTAGGGCACTAATGAAGCAATGAACAGAACCACCCCACTGAGAGCCTCTTTCAAGGGCCAGGCTTTCAGTCAGTATGAGCTTAATTCTACAGCAAGGAGGACTGCCAACCACTTGGTTGTTATTAACAGGGATGCTGGAAGAGTCTATCCATCCTCTCCCCACAGTTTTTTAACAGTGGCAGAAGGGAAAATAAGTTAAAATTTGTCCCAAGAACACAGAGTCTACTCGGATGTTCTGCTAATCATAGAATCATTAAGGTTGGAAAAGACTTCCAAGAACACCCAAGACCATCCACCTACTATATTGCCCACTAAGCCATGTCCTTAAATTCCACATCACATGTTTCTTGAACACCCAAATCTTAGTTACAATGTCATTTCCACCTGAAAATATACTGATCTATATTGGAGAAGAAGGATGTGGTCACCAAAATGTCATTTTAAAGTTCTCTTTCAAAACCTCTCCCCGAAACATCTGGTCCAATCCGCCAAGTTTGCTTATGAGTACTTTTTTTGAAGTACTGTTTTGGAAACATTTGGCTAACTGGCTTTTGGTGTGCTTTGCTGTTTTTGTTGCTTCTTGTTTTTCCTCTTGGTTTTTCTTTTTTTTTTTTTTCCCAGCAAGGCTGCGTGTTTGCAAGAGTAAAGCTATTCTGCAAACCCAGCTTGTGCAGCAGCAGGCTCAGCTCCTTTGAACTTGCAGAGCTTACTCTCATGCACTGTATCTGCAGTGCACACACGCTTCAGAAACCACCTCCTTATCTTTTGGTTTGTTAGGTGTGCACCCGAAAAGAAAAACATCTCTTCTGAAACACGGACTGGCTTTCAGTCAAGCTGACATATCTGTACCTTACACCAGCAAACAGGGGAAATCAGCAAAAAATTAGGAAGTTTTCTTAAATCAAGTTTTCCTCGTAAAATGCTGTGTTCATACCTGTCTTGAAATGTGGCAACATCCCTGTAATGCAGACAGTGCTGGCACCTGCAGATAGTAACAAGAAATTTAATGAATGACAGAAATTGACTTTGTCAGAAGTTCACAAAGGTGCTTCTACCTTGAAGGGTTGAATTTGAGTTTCTGGCCATTAAACCATAAAAGCTCACATACGCTACTTTCAGTGCAGGCATGTAATTAGTGCAGTAAGATGTAATTAAACTTTAGTGTCCCATCAGGCAAAGGATTTTCAAGCTTTATATCTCCCATGTTGTGATTTTGAGATCTCTCTGCTGTGACTGTCCCAGCCTACTGACCCTTCATTTGTTTCTACCAAGCGATAACACAAAAGAAAGCAGAGGCAACAAGACACCATTCCTTTAGAGAGTCGGATCACAGCTCAGCATTGCTTGCAGTGTTAGAAGATGTGAACAAGTCCTGTTCATACTAATAGCAGAGAGACCACGGATAGCCCTGAACACACAACAGCATTACCAGCTTCAGGATCATCTTCTAGCACTGCAAATCCCTCGTGCTTGGCACCACACTGCATTTCATCCTTCTTGGCCCAGTAGGTTGACAGGTAGCTCGCTTCATATTTGTTCTCGGATGTTGCCACCTCCACAACAGTTTCCGTCTTCCTATCAACTGAGCTAAGATCAAGCTTGTCAGGGGAGTAATCCGTGATAAGGCACATTTCCAAATTCCTGTCATCTTCAGAGGTCAGCCTGTAGACTGAAGGAGATGGAGTAATATCTGAAAATGGAGAAGAGGCATGATGTGAGATTAGAACATTAGGTGACACACATTAGCTGGGTCAATCTTGACACACTGACACCTCAGGTATGGCTGTTCCTCCATGATTCAAATGGGAAGCTGTCTGATCATAGGGATCTTGAGCTAGGACACCATCTGTGAACCAAGGTATTCACAGCAGATACAGGAGCTATGTGAGGCTTACTTTGACACATGTTGAGCCACAGGTGGTCAATCTGGATCCCTAGAGCATCTCAAATGATACCCATGTGGCCACCCACAGCCTAAAGGTTTACATCTAACCTAGCTGTCCCTCTCTGTATCAGCTTGTTCAACTCTACACTGCCACCTGGGATTCCCTTAGGATCCTGACCTGACTGCACTCAGAGATGTGTAAAACAGGCAGAGACCACCCCCCTCCTGCTTCACGGCCATGAGAAGTCATGTCTGGGGAGGACAGATAGGCCCAGGGGCATTCTCTGCTTTCTGCAGATGCACTGTCAAATCCACCACTGATATTCGTAATCCCACTTCCTCCAGCTGTGTGGAAGGATGCTGGTTATAATGCCAGATCTTAAATGTGCCCACATTACTGCCAGTCTGGCTAACAATGCTCCTATGGGAAAAAGATACGAAAGCCACTGCAAAGTACCAACACATGTTCCCATTTAGGGAAAGAAAGATTAAATAAATGTTTCATTACATTTCACCAACTGACAGTACAATTTATTATTACCTTTTTTTTTTTTTTTTTAGTATGGTTATTCTTTTGGGAACAGATTTCAGTGATATATTCAGATTTTAAAAAAGCTGGATCACAAAATCAGAGAATAACAGGGACTGGAAGGGACCTTGATGGTAAGCCTGGAAGGGACATGGATGGTAGGCCGCATTTAAAAAGCAAACAACAGCAAAAAAAGAAACACCAATGAACCAGTCTGTATCATTAATATGGGGTACAAGGATACAAAAAAAAAAAAAGAGAAATAGCTGGATCTGGTCTTCTCTTTCACAACAAGTGCTCTGCTATCAGAAGAGCTGCAAATCCAACTCTCTCTAAATTACTGTATGTGTTTTTCCCACTGCCTTTGCAATGCTTTTATCTTGTGCAGATTTTAAAAATGTTTTTTGTTTTTGCTGGCAGCTTCAGCACCATCTGCTGAACCATCTACTCATTTCTCGCTCTTAGTGGCTGCTGGCTTTGTTCTGTCACTGGAAGCATTTTCCAATTTCTTCCTTTGCATATTTGCATGCTGTTTTGAAAGCCTGCAGAAAGCATACTTGGTAAATACCAGCTAATGCGACCACAGCACTGTGAGCTACATTTCCTGTTATTCTGTCTTAACAAGATGGTGGATGTGTTGGAGTTGCTGTGTTGGTATCTGTGACCTTTACTTAAGAAAGTTTGAGAAGTAAATAAGGATGCTCTGATCTCTCAACCTTGCCTAACTGCATCCTCACCGAAGCACATCTCCCAGGTGGATGAAGAGGAGCTATCTCAATACCATCCCTGACCATTCCACAATGAAAGCTGAACTGCAGTAGAGTTCTGTGGGAGAGCAGTTTGAGTTTTGTCAACACCAAAGATCTGTGTCTTTTATTTTTTCCCCAAACAGAAAGCTGAACCAATTTAACACACAACTGCTATTCTATGAAGAATCATCTCATTATCCATTCCCTCCAGAGCAGAATCCTTCAGTCTCTGGTCAGACTGGAAATAGTGTAATTGAGTTTGTTGGCCATTTAGAGTTGAACCATTTGTGCAATAATTGTCCCTGTAAACAAAGGCTTGAGGAGGCAATCCATTAATTTTCTGAGAGCTGTCATTTTCATAAAACATTTGGGTAGGCTTTTTCTTCCAAAACCAGCATGGGTTTTAACCGTCAGAAACAGCTTTCAGTATTTTTACACCTGAAAGTTCATTTATAGGGGGAAATAAATAATTTCAACTCAAACAATAAACTTCTTGAACTGAGACTAACTATCCATTCAGCCATGAATTAAATGAATTTGAAAACATCCAATTTTTATACTGAGCAATAACAAAAGTATTCAAGTAATTAATCCTGAAATCCCTCTCTAAATACAGGTGGAAGAAAACAATTTTTTGTTGCAATTCAGCTGTCAAAAGAACTTTTGATTTTATATTTGTGGTATTGCCTCAAAGATAGATGTGTTTTTTGCAACAAAATGATACCCTTCACTGACCAGTCTATCTAATGAGCACTTCTAGTTGGATAAACTACTTGGGATTACAGACAGCCTTGTGCAATTTCCAAAAATTACTCCCATGGCTCCAGTATCCCAGACATCCAAGGTCAAATCATTACCAATGACACAGCTTAAGTCACCTGGGAAATTTCTTCCTTATTCAGTGTGAAACTATGACTTAAATATGAACTCAGAAGTGTCTGAATTTTTTCCCTTCCTAAGTAAAAAAATGCAACTTCTGGTGTTTGTGCAACAAAGTTCACCCAGGCCAATGTTTTCCTTTGCAGAATGACAGCACAAGTCCCACACTGTCTGACAAGACTCTAACCTAAGATCATTGACATGCCAATGTCACCAGTCTAAGAAACTGATGATGCTATCTCATTTCCCAGTATTCCCAGGATCCCTGATGCATCTTCACCATCACAGTGTTGAGAAATAATCCTGCCTTCATTTTCTTTCAGCCTCCTCCCTTCCCTCCCTATGTGCATTCTGCACAAAGGTAGCTGTATTTAGAAACACAAAATAGTGGTCACTGCTCCTGTTTTCATAGCCTGTCCTTCTCCAGATCTGAAGCACCTGAGCTGCCTTTGAATCTGTTTCCTCTTACAAATGTACTATATCTTTCTCACTCAACAGTAAGACTTTGCAATCAGTTGTTGCCTCGAAGCTGCGTATTTCAGTGTCTTCTCATCCAAAGTATGTAGAAAGCTGTCTACACAAAGTTGTTTGAAACTTCTTTCCATCTTTGCAGGTTTCTACAGCCTTTTAAAATTTTACTGAGGAAAGAGGCTTAAAAAGCATCGCAAGAAGTTTGGTCTCCTTTGCAAATGCGAATTTTCTAATTCCTAACTGCTCAGATTCCAACATTAGTTTAGACAAATAAGGACTTCACTTTCAGATTTTAGAACAAAAAAAGCTTGATATATTCTTAGGCTAAGAGTTAGAAAATCCAACCTCAAGGTCATTAGGCTGAATGACTCCAAAACATCATATGGTTGCTATTTTAAAGATGGATAAATCAAATCTGAACGTGCTAATAACCAAAAACTCAAAGCATGCATTAAATTTGTTATGCAGTGTTTGGCAGCATGCAAACTCCTTGCTGTATGCCTGACCACACCGCGCCGTGGCTGCTAAGCATCAGTGGACTGTTTAGCCATAGAAAACCATAAGAAACACGACCACCTTATCTAGCTGTTCTTTCCTGCAGTCATTGTCATGCCACATACCAGCACTCCTTGGCTTTCGACACAGCATCTCTATTTCAACATACTTTTGTCAGTGGAGGTCTAAGAGAAGATGGGAAAATGCTCAAAAGAACAAGTAAATGCCTGGAGAACAAGTAACTACCACTCCTGGTACAAACAGTTTAAACGTACTCGGGGTGACAAGAAGTTGGGTTCCAGCCCCAAATGCCAGTTCTGCATATCCCTGGTTTGCACACTGGTGCCAACCTCTGCAAAAACACAGGCACGTTTTCCAAACCCACACTGACAGCCAGATCAACGGGCATTCTAGAGCAGGGATAACTTAAGGGAGCAGTGGCAAAACACACTGATTTTAAACACTGTCAAAGTACAAAAGAAATCTACAAGAAAAACAGTCAGGAAGAAGGGGATAAAAAAATTATCATTCTTTCCTTGGTTACAGCTGTGAACTGCACATTTTGAGAGTGATGCCAGAGTAATCTGTGTTTGTAAAATCGCCTAAAACTCTATTCAGCACGCCTTGTGGTTAAGGACTTTTCCTTTAACATTTCATTGCTTATTACTTATTACTGGCTTAATCATCAGCCGAGCTCCTTTTGATAATGTCAGCTTGTATCTTCTTTACCTCCATAATTCACATGTTCCAGGAAACCTGGAGCAATTGCACATCAAGGTTCCTACACTCTCACTCAGGTAAGCACTACCAGAAGTAAGGGTTAAGGGTGGACTTGTGGCTTTGACAGCTTGGTAAATGTGGATTCATATCCCAGTCACGTACAGAATCCACTTGCAGTACCTGTGGATAATGCCACTACTGTCCAACAAGACAAAAGATAGGTCAGTTCCCTTTCGGACACTAACAGTTCAAAAAGGAATGAGTATATTATACCTTGGTGGATTCTCCTGCAAGTAAAGATAAAATGGTGGTACACAAGTAGATATTTTCTTAAGAATTCTTTTATTTCAATGTTTGTTCATTTGACATATCGTCCATGACTTGGCTTGAGGCCAATGGAAGTGTCATGGATTTACCCTTAGAATAGGAGAAATGCTGGTGATGGTCAGAAGAACAGAATTAGTTTTTGTCTTAGCTATTACAGGAATGCAACTGAATGAAGAGCACTGTAAGCACATTTTCCTTCAGCTGCCTCAAGAAATTCTGCTTGGTCATCTTCCTTGAAATAACTTCCACCAATTAGGTGACACTTCAGGCTACTACAGCATTTTCCCAGATCTTAATGTGTATCCTGAACAGGCTTGCAAATTAGGGAAAACTTCAGGATGCATGTACCTGGGAGAACCAGAAGTCTTCTCCCTGACCCAAATGTGACATTGTACCCATTTCCATAGTCACACAATAACACGGGCCTCTGCAATATTCCAAGTGGTACTGAATGGGACCTTCAGCCATGAGACAGGCCACTAAAGGAATCCCATTATCTCCACAGTCAGACTTTGCCTCCATCCTTTACTCATATTTTCACTATGAAGCACTGTCATATTCTATGTTTTTCAAACTTTCAAACTCTTGAATATTTCCCTGTATTTATTTATGTCTTGTTTCCACAAAACCACCTG